CCGCACTTGCAGAGAGATGGAAAAGAAGGGCCTGTGACCGAATCTTTATATATATATATATATACATATATATGATATATTATACACAGATGGATGCATGTTGAATCTGTCTCCCCCAATGCGAAGCCGTTTCATTTTCCTTCAATGCGAAGGTGAAACAGCTTGCCAACTCATTGGAGATCCTGGGACTTGATCGTCTGATCGTCTGATTGCTTCACCGCAGGTGATGCCTTCACCTTGGCCTCAAGCATCAGTGCTTGTGAACGTGCCAGCGCCTGGCACGCCGCCTGGTACTTGCTCCAACTGTCGTGTCCGCAGTTTTGCAGCGAGGAGCTTTGCTCGCTGGTGGCGCTGAACAGCGCAGCGAGCGCCGCGGCGAAGGGCTCGGAGTGGCAATTGGCCTTGCAGGTCCTGAGCAAATTGGAGGAGACCAAAGAAATGCTTGAAAGGCTTGGATAGAATGATTTTGAACGGCAAATAGGGTTCACAAAGTGTTTCATAAAGTTAGCCAACGTGTTGGAAAGGAGGAGAGAGGTGGGCTTTGTCTGTGTGACAGCACTGCTGTAACACTTTGAAATCTCTTTGGTGTTTCTAGGCGTTCTTTTTCCATGGTAGGACCGTCTCCTGAAACCGGACATTATCACCTACAACTCTTTGATCAATGCCTGCGCGAATGGCGCCCAGTGGATTTGTGCACTTGCATTGTGGTCGAGTCTCCCGCAGAAGATCTCCCCTACAATGATCACCTGCAGCTCGCTGCTGGACGCCTTCAGGCAGGGTCATGAGTCCGGCGTTGATCATTTGAACTGAGAATCACAGTGTAGTTCAATCCTTTTGCTTTCTTCACATTTCTGTGGATACTTCTTCATAAGGGGGGAAGAAGTGGTAGCACATCCTGGCTTAGCCTCCTTCCTGTATTGCTTGAGGCTAGCAAGGACCAAGGATAGAGCAGGTAGCCTCGCTCAAGACATAGCTGGGGTTCTAGCTCGCACTCAGAACCTGTCATAGGCAATCAGCCCAGTGGCAGTATGCCTTGCTGCTGGTGGCCAGTCATCGTCTGGATATGACGAGTTACAGCGTGGCCATCAGCACCTGTGGCGAAGCAGCTGAGTGGAGACGAGGATTGCAGCTGCTGCAGGACTTCGAGCCTCGGATGTCAGACTTTCGGAGGTGGCTCGCTCAGATCGAAGGCGACAGACAGATCCGGACGTCGACCGAACGGTCCTCGTCGCCCACGGGGAGACGTGGTCTTACTTGCTCACAGGCAAGCCTGGGAGGTCATGGTCAAGGTGGTGAGGGGATCCTAGACATAATCACAAACGCTTGATTACATAGTACCTATATATACTGCCAAAACAGAAGAATGCAGTCAAGAACACCTGGCAAGAGGGGGGACTTCAAGCCTACAGGTGGCACAGGTGTCATCAGACGCTCCAGCTGGAAGAAGTCGTGTCTCTCAAGGCGACGACGGTCGGCGACGTGCGAGTCGCCAATGTCGGCCTTGCCCTGTCGACGGTTTGGGGAGCAGCTGTGGCGACGCGAGGGAGCAGCGAGGGGAGCGACGGAACTTGACGGTTTGGGTCGTCCTGGAAGATCCATGTTCCGCATGAAAGAGGGAGTGTTCTTTGGGAGAGATCCCCAACCGTGACCGATTTGGGACGGTTTTCGGTGCAACCACCGCCTCACATGGGCAACCTTCCCCCCACCCACCCCGAGGAGTCGGTTCATCGACCGATGGTGATCGTGTACAATGCAGCGATCAGTGCCTGCGGTGGGGAGTGGCTTCAGGCTCTGGGGGTTTTCAATGAATGTCTCAAGAGATCTTTGCAACCAGAGACTTGGACTTTCAAATACGTTTTCAGTCCAGAATTCGGAGCCATGCAGCATTTCGGGCTGACATGCTTCTATTTATACACGTCCCTATATACGTCATGTCTTCTGGAACATGCTGACCTTGGCCCCCCAAGGACATCGTCACCTACAATGCTTTGATGAACGTGGGTCAAAAGAGTGGAAGGCCGGAGTCGATTCAAGCGATTGCTTCGTCGCACGGCACCGGCAGTGCTGGCTGCGTCGGGCGTCGAGGTGTCGAACGGGTCGCCGAGGTCGCTTCTGAACACAGTGACTCACCCGTCGAGCAAGCATTCACGATCCCCAACTGTGGGGGGGTTAATTCCCCTGACTCGTCTCTGTCCAGGGGCTGGGAAGATGCCATCTTCTTGCTCCAGATGGCTCAAGATGCAACCCTTCAACCCACACCTAGCACTTACACCTCACTTTTCGGAGCTTGCCGGCAACATGGCAAGTGGCGACTCTGTGACTCGGTGAAAAACAGATCCTCCGTGCCTGGGCGTTTTGACCTTCAGTCTCTTGTGGGTTCGCAAGTGGCGCGCTCCGGCACCTGTATCCGAGGCTTACAGCTTTTGGCCGAAGCTCCTCAGTCACTCAGCACGGCAGCCTACAATGCAGCAATGAGTTGCATGGCCGAGAATTGGCGCCATGCGATTGGCCTCCTGGAGCACCTTGGTCGAACTGCGACGGTTTGCGAGGGCCACACGGTCGACCTAGAAATGAGAAACACGCAAAACTTCAGAATGTTCAGGCTTGCATGTGCAACATGACTTGCTTAAAGCAGACTTGCAGATAAACTATTTCCAGTTTTAGTGACTTCAGTGAAACTTGTATTCGGCTACAGGTGGTCGATGGCAATTGGTTGTTGGGATGCTGTGAAATACATTCACATGAATACAACTTATATATGCACGGGTGCACAGCCAGTCGAGCAAAGAGCAGGTCATGTGGAAGGTGGGTCACCATGTAGTGACCTTCAATGACATGCATTTTGCCTTTTGCCACTCCAAAACGACCCCAGCCGTATTGGGAGGCCCTAGCCCTACCCAAGCCGTGGACGCCAGGCACTGCCCTTCGCCCGACTTGGTCACCTTCAACGCACTGCTCAGCGCCTTCGAAAAAGCCGCCCAATGGCCACGAGGTGCTGAACGACGGGGGTCGCGAGTGGGGACGACCTGACCCGACCTTCCTCTTCCGGAGGTTTCTTCACGGAGGTGACGGTGACCGGCTTCGGGTGAGCTGGGGCGGGGTCGATTTGTGGTGTGTGTTCCATATGACCTGTAAAAGGCCTTTAGAAGGTCGAACTGCGATGGCAACAGCAAGGACCCAAGTTCATTGCGTGATAGTGCTTGGACAATCCACAAGAACAGTGAAATAGATGCACACTTCGTGTCTCAACCCCCAAAATCACCATGTTCCACCACTCTTTGTCTCTCCTTTTCAGCCTTGGAACTCCTGACGACTTCCACGCTCCGACGGGTTGCGCTACGTCCGGACGTGATCTCCTTCAATGCTGCGATCAGCGCGTGTGAAAAGGCCGAGGACGACCGGATGGGGTTGTGGCGGGTGAAGAGGTTGAGTTGGCCAAGTGGGTTGACTGGTGAGAGAGTGAGAGTTGCTGCCAACTTCTGAATTCTTTATACAAAGGGGATATGCCGAGTTCCTTCCTTGTATGATGCTGATACGTGTTTACAAAAGAATCTCTATGGAGCATGGGAAGGAGGGGATGCAACCGTTTTGTAATCCATCCATGAAGACTGAGCAGAACTTGTTGGAAACAGGTATTTGGAGGAGATCAATTTTCTCTATTCTTGTTCTGATCTCCCTGTATTCTTATCATTTTGGTTCCTCGACCAAAACTTAGATTTAGATAGTCAAAGTTTAAACGAGTTCGTTTGTGTGACACCCTGGACAGATGGGAAGAAGAACTACAAACTGCTGAACTGCTAGGAGTGGCCACATGCCCTGCATGTCTTGTCGCTGCTGCGATCAGCCGCGCTTCAGCCCACCTTGGTGTCCTGCAGCGCTACAGCCAGCGCCTGTGAGAAAGCTGGGAAGTGGCAGCTGGCAGGCCTCCTGCTGACCGAGGCCGGAGGGAGTGCGGAAAGAGACTTGCAGCTTGGAGATGTATCAAATTTATCACTGGTTAGCTGGTGGGTGTTAACCCTGCAAGAATGAGGTTTGTTGCAGAAGCCGTTGCTTTCAAAAAGGTCTTGCAGGATGTGTAAGCTGATCTTCTCATCTCATGCATCTCACGGACGCTCACAGAACCGAAAAGGGGTGGCGAAGCAGCATGCACTAGGGGCCCTCGAGTGAAAATCCCTGACTGGACAGTTGCCGGGCATCGCTTCGCCATGTGGAACTCGTTTGATTGGTGGTTGGCCATGTGGTGCTTGGTGGATGGTTTGTGCGTCCAGGTGAAGACGATGCGCATGCAGCCTGATCTGATCATTTACAATGCCGCCATCACAGCTTGTGAACAGGCCAACTGGGGACGACCTGCAGAATGATACAAGTGGGGGCCAATGCCAAGTATACTTGGTCAGCTAGATTTCGATTTGCTCTTGGTGCTTTGGATTTGGTGCTTTAAACACGAACATGGTGAAATGGTGAGCGCACTTTTTTCGGCACAGTTTCATCTCCGAGAACCTTGAAATTCAGCCGTCCTGCAGCAGGCTGGCCAGTGGCAAGTGGCTTTTTCCCTCTTGGAACAAGCAGAGAAGAGCGAACTAAAGCCCAACGAGATCACCTATCAAGCGGCCACTTGGCTGTTGGGCAAATGCTCTCAGTTCGTCCACTCTAGGTTGTCCATTTGACGAAAAGACTGCATCAAAAAGGCAAAAGGCTGAAGCAGTGTCTACATGTTTTGGCATTTCAGAGCTGCCTAACCGCAACACATGTCAACTCAGCCGACGTATTACCTGATCCTCATCTTTCAGTCTTTCAGTTTTCTCCACCCTTTCCATCCTTTCCGTCCGAGGTCATCGTCTCCAGTGAACGTTTAGCCTGGCCAGCCACGTTGACACTCCTGGGCGCCGCCGCCGCCGCCGACGCTCTGACGCCACTGAGTGTGGCGGCCGCGCTCCGCGCGCTGCGGGAAGGCGCGCGTTTTACGCGCGCCTCGCTGGGGCCCAAGCTGCTGGAACAGCTGCAGGATCGGGCAGAGGTGCTGAACAGAGAGTGGGCAGAAATCGCAGAAATCCGAGTCTTTGTTATGTCTTCTTGTTGAGTCGGTTCACATTTTTTGAATTCGAGTGAGGACCGGCCACATGACTGACAGCTAGATTTCGATGAAGGTTTCCTTTGAATGCATGGAATGGTTACTTGGTGTTATTTTTGGAATTGTGAAAGCTCTTCCCCGTGGTAGGCAGTTTGGGATTACTGTACTACTATCTACGAATCCCTTCAAAACGACCCGAAAGGTGCTTTGCCCACTTCGCTTGAAGTCAGGCATGGGGTTGTGAATTTCGTTTTTTCAGTGCGCAGGTGATGTTGATCGAGACGTGGCCAAGGAGAGACATCTGCAGCCGACGACTGCTGAGCCAGAGACATTTGAGCCAGAGAGCATTTTAAAACTTACACTCTCTTAAACAACATGTAGAAGGCCCAGGATGCTTTTCTCTGCCACAGTGGCGACTACAGACACGCTGGACACGCCACACAGCTGAAAACAATCTTTCCGGAGTTTGAGAACAGCCATCGCCTTCCAGTTACTACTAACAATCTTTCCAGCCTGCGCATATTTCTAGCAACCACACTCTGAAGACTTTGCAGCCGGGTTTCGCGCTGGAGACAGAAGGGTACCATTGCTTTCCAGACTGTCCCATGTTGAATAGAAATCATATGACATCATCATCAAAACATTGGATACACAGTCACCGTCGCCTTCTTTGACCGCCTCTTTCCTTCGGCTCCAGCCCTGCCCTGGCTCAAACAGTTGCGCCCCATGGACGTCGACCGGGCCAAAACGGTGACCCCGTCACCCGCGTGGCGGGAGGCCTTCGACAGGCTCTTCGAGCAGGTGCGGCGAGCGAACGCGGGCGAACGCGGGGCCGGAAAGACGGCGAGTTCCGGGTTGGACGCTGGTGGGCTGGAGCATGAGAACCAATCATCACTCATCACTTCGCTCTTCTTGGACTGCCATCTTCTCTCGCCCCGTGTGAGACACTTTCCCATCAGAACAACCCTTGTCTTGTGTAGTGCTTTTGATTGGGAGTTCACACGATCCAATATCGCGTATACCGTATAGTATAGTATATGCCTATAGAACCTGAATGACCTCTATTTTGGACCACCAACCACCCAAAATATGGCCTTTTCCTATAAAAGCAGGGGTCAGTTGGGTCGAGGTATATACTTGGGAGTCCAATTCGATATTTTTTAAACAGTCTTTAGCCGATCCGCAAAAGGAGTTCCTTTACTTGGGTGGTGCCCCAAAATAGCCTTTGGACTTCTAGGGTATATGGATAAACCAATATATAAAATATATGATTATATATGCTGTATATACACGTGCCTTTTCAATCAGGGGCTCGATGGCCATGTTCACGTCAGAGTCTCCGCAGTTTCCACCTGGCTCAGTAGCCCTAGAATTGATCAAATCTTTCCTTCACCATTCCTTCTTCCTTGTCACACGATCCAGCAAAGCCGTATTGAGGCAGAGCCCAACCGGGTGCGCCTGGACGTGATCTTGTACAACTCCACCATCAGCGCTGCCGGTGCCGGCGGTGGTTGGCGAAGAGCCTTCAGCTTGCTGAAGCAGCTGGACTCGAAGCTTCTGTCTCCAACAGTCACTCGGTGTCCAAAAATGGAGGTTAGGTAGGTAGGTAGGTGGGTGGATGGGTTGGTCGGTCGGTCAGTAGGTAGGTAGGAAGTAGGTTTGGTAGCTAGGTGAAGAGTCTCGCAACAGGGAAGTGCAAGAGTGACCGCGTCCATCGCCAGCAGGGAACGACTAGCAGAGAATCCTCGTCACACTCAATGAAACCCAACCTGAGCTCAGTCCTTCAGCTGCAGGTTGTTACTTTTGGCGCTGCCATCAGTGCCTGTGAGAAATCCTCCCGATGGCCTTCAGCGCTGCAGACCTTCGAGGAAGTGGAGTCCTGGCGTGACACTCCAGTGAAGCGGAATGTGATTTTGTGCAATGCCACCATGAGTTCCGCGGGCAAAGGCCGGGCCTTCGGCGAACAGTCCGTCCTATGGTGGCGTGTGGAGTCATGTGTGGAGACATTGTGTGTTTTCAGACTCCTGATAACAGCGAAGTCCATGTGTTTTTTTTGAGGAAACACACTAATTGTAACGTGTATAATGTAGATACATTTAACTCATGGTGCCGAAAAGAAGCTCAACTTCCCCCAACTCCCAGGTGTGAAGCTTGTGAGGTTCCTTCTTCCTGTAGGCCTCCAGTGGCTGGAAGCCTTGCAAATCTTCTCGCGTGCGCGGTGCAATCAGCAGCTTGGCCTGAGCACCACCAGCAGCAACGCAGTCTTGAGTGCCTGTGAAAAGCATGTCCAGTGGCCGGTGGCCATGGCTCTACAGGTACTCGCCACGATCGTTTCGGTCCAAACGAAGCGGTGGTGAAGAGGTTTTCCGTATTTCGGCAAAGGGCCTTGCGTGCCGAAAAACCTAGCGGTACTGGTTCAAGAGAGGTGATTTTGTTTCTCCTGTATTCCAGTTCAGGTGCCATAACCAAAGAAGGATGGTGCTCGCATGAATATCAAGTCTTTGTATACGGTGATTGACACTTCCCAACAGAGGCCCACCGAGGATACAGATATCATAGGCGATTGGATCCCAGCAGGGGCAAACAATCCATCAGAATACCTGATTGGATCCTCAATGAACATGGATGCCCTGAACACCATAACATGGTTAGGTGGATGGCACCACCTGTTTGGTTTTTGGGAAACGTGTTATGCAAGGTGCCACTTTCCACTTCCAGGATGATTTCAGGGAGTGTACCACATCGCCGGGTTTCCCGGAAGGCGGAGATGCCACAGTTGCGACTGCAGAGCGACGTCATCACGGCCAACGTCATGATCAGCGGTCTGGGGAAAGGCGAGGTGTTCTTGTGTTCATGGCAGTCGTTCAGGTCATGTTGGGTTCCAGGTTTTGGTTTGTTATGTTCTGTTGTTACGTCGTGTTGAAAGGAAAGGGAGGAAACACAGGACGCAGCAGCAGGGAGTTTGTACTTGTCTTTTCCTCGTTGCCCGTCCCCGATCTATTTTCATTTCAGCCGAGGTGGACAGTGGCGATTTGCCGTCCTCGTTTTCGCAGGGTGTCACCGCAAGCAGCTGGAGCCGACAAGTGTGACGTGCAGTGCCGCAGTTAGTGCATCAGAGGCACAGTCATTGGAGTTGCAGAATCAAGGGGTGCTGGCGAATTTTCAATCTATCATAATTTTTACTGGAAGGAAGAATCGGCAAGCTTGCCTTGCCCTGGCTTTGTGATAAAAGAGTTATGAACCGCTGAAATCCAGTCGACCCCCCAAAGCCCTCTGGTTTTGGCTGGGTCAGGAAGCCAAAGACTGGCAGCGAGCCATTTGGCTTTTGGAGTGCAAGACGGCGGATCGCATGAGCTTCAATGGGGCCATCAGCGCCTGTGGGCTGCAATCGAAATGGCAAGAAGCCTTGCTTTCCTTTCGGCTTTTAGAGGCAGGGTGGAAACAGAAGCTACTATATAATAACAATTGGATTCCTACTGGTAGCAAGAACGCTACCATACGCTACCAGTAGCTAACTAGTAGCTAGAAGCTACAGTATTGGGAACCAAAACTTCTTTTCACCGGACTGGAAGATCTAGGCCCATCAGATGCCCAGCACCCCCGCCCTGCCCAGCGCCCGCCCCCCTTCCGGATGCTCGAAACGTGCGCCTGCTCGACGCGCTGCTCGACGTGCGTCGTGTCGAACCTCCGCCGGTGACACCTGTCGACCGTGGTCTGCGTCAGGCTTTCAGCCTTGAAGCTTCGACGGTGAGCTACAACTCTGCCATCAGTGCCTGTGAAAAAGCGGAATTGTGGCAGGAGGCTTTGCATCTCTTTGCTCAAGCGCGAACTCGGCGCTTGCATCCAGATGTGCTTGGGACGAACGTGTCGCAGACGTCGAAGGTAGACCGGACCAGGGAACGGAGGCTGGGGGGTGAGAGACAGGTGCTTAGTAGTGAATTAGGGAATGAGCCCCCCACTGTGGATAGATCGCCTTGGATTCATTCTGACGATTCATTCCCTCCTAAGCAGCCAGAAAAGAGAGCCTGTGGTACTTCTAATGGGACCACAATGCCGAGGTAGTGACCTACAATGCTGTCATTAGTTCTTGCGACAAGCGCTTGCAATGGCAACTAGCCTTGAGCCTTTTGAAGGAGCTCCAAATGCAGCGTTTCTTCATCTGCAGTTTTCAGCAGTTTGTCGAGTTGGATTCCTGTTTTTGCTGCAATGCTTGTCAAGATGAGTCCTTCGAACAGCGCGATTCAATCATTTGAACCTTTTGCAAATTTCTGTACCGAGCAGTCACTTTCAAGAGCTGCATTCTTGGGGCAATTTGGATATAGCTATCCATGCTGATTCGCTGTGTAGAGCTGAGGTTTGGCACCGACTGCGATCACCTACAGTGCAACCATCAGTGCCTGTGAGAAGTCCTCACAGTGGCAGCGGGCGTTGAGGCGGGCGTCAGGAAGCGTTGAACCAGCAGAGGGATATATTTCTTCTTGGTCACTTGAACAACTGCGGCTCAGCAGGTGAGTTAAAAAGTAACAATCACACTGGAAGTTCTAGACTCCCAGGTAGGAACCATTTCATCCTTCATAACTCAGCACGGTAAAGAACAGTGACACCATGACGCTGCCGTTTTGCAAACACCGCGGCGGCCGCAGCAACCAAAGCGTTCGGAGGCTCTTTGAGTCGGCCTCCAGACTGTTGCAGCCGGACGCCTGGATTCAGGGGAAGAACCAGGGGTTCCAACGAAGAGTTGAGGAAGACGGGGTAGAGTGAGGGTCGGACCTGTATGTCTTTGCTTTCGGAAATACCAGCTTCCTATGTAAAACATGCAAAAGAGCACATTCAGATCTACATGTACTGCTCGCAAGTTTGGATAGCACTGCACTCCCAAATTCATCCAAATTCAGTGTCCGGCAACCAGAGGATGTGGTGGCGTACACCGCAATCATCCGGGCATGCAAGAAGCTTGCCCAGTGGCAAGATGGCTTGGGCCTTTTCTTCCAGCTTCATCGCCAGACCCTGGACGATCCTCGGATTCAGGAGGTTTGAGGGTCTTTGGTCATGGAAGTTCGCCAGCCTTGTGCCCAGGTTGAATTTTGAGCTGCTTGCATGTTGGGGAACTAAGCCAGCAATCACTGCATCAAGACGGAGAAGGCACCCAAAAACAACCTGAGGAGCCTTTTTATATAGGCGGGCCACGCACCTCACCTCTGGTTCGAGACCAAACACCCTCAAGATGTGTCACCTACGACTGTCAACTGTCCATTCTCTTTTGATGTCTTTTGGTCTGTTTTTCTTTTTGTCCAGGTCTTTTCTGAGCATTTTGCCTAGCTGGGCCGCCTAGCTCGAGCTGTCGCTCGCCCGCTTCCGCTCGCTCGCCAGCTTGACCGTTGACGCTGTAGGACACGGAGCTGACGGAGGTCTCGCGCCTCATCGCGTCCATGACACCATGGCGCCACGCGCTCGCGCTCGCGCTGGAGCGGCCACGCGGCGCGCGCGGCAGCGCGGCCACCTACGGCTTCGCGGTGGCTCGAGCGCTGGAGGGCGCCGCCGGGGCATGCGCCGTGGGCCTCTTGCGGCTCGGAAGATTCGGAAGGTTGGGGGTCGGTGAGTGCATGAGACCAGTGGGTTTGGAAAGGACAAGTTCACGTGTCGGTCCCCCCTTTGTTCGTTGCTTTCTTCGGTGCCTGTAGGGCGGACCTTGGAGGGGTGCCGTAGGGCGGCCGGTCCTGCTTAAGGAACGATCTCCAGGAGAGTGCTTGCGGCGCAGCGAAGCTGGGAACAAAAAGATGCGCGGACATGTCTAACAGGGACCCTTCATTTGTGATGCATGTGACTGCATGTGTGCTAACACCAGAATCTGAGATTGTGGAATGCTTTTGAATACTTGTGCCCAAACACACACCAAGTATGCTCACAGGATCATTTGCAGACGACTAGCAAGGCCGCTGCTTTGTCGTTGGCTGCTTAGCCAGCACTTGCGCCACTTAGAACTCCATCCGCCGCGGTGCGGCTCCAAGGCTGGAACAACACTTTAGACAGGGATGCTTTCCGGGACTCGCGCAAAGATGAATACTGTAGTCATACTCTTCTATCCGGAGGGTAGACTCAACTTCTAGGCCTTTGTAATGCAAAGACATCACGAAAACCAAAGTGCAGTCCCAGAACCTGAGTATGTAGATCAAAACGGCCAGCACAGGGAGAACATCAACATCTATTTGATCCTCCCTTGAACCAACAGCCACCGCAGCCAGAGATCATTCCAGGACTCCCCGGTTCCGGCGGCTCTCCACCGTGGCTAACCCGGCGGAGACACCGTGTTTCTTTTCTTTCCAGACACCGTGGCCGTTCGTTCGGGGGCGACCTGTGGCAATGGAGCGCGATGATGGGCATGTGGCTCTGGTGACTTGGAGCGACGGGTGGAGTGACGGACTGACGGTCGGTGCGACGGGTGGAGTGTCGTAGGGAATGAGGGAAGGAGCGGGCGAGCTCGCCCCCCAAGAGGGAGTTCTTTGGATCCAGCCACTCTCATTCCAGCCACGAGTCGCACCAGTCAGTAGAGTTATTCTGAAGTGGGTAACGGAGAGATGATGCTTGGACTGCAATGATGGCGACGTCGGGTTTGCTTTTCGGGACAAAGAAGGGGAAGATGGGAGACTGTATTGACAGCAAAGAGCTGCGACCGGGCCAACTTTTGACTTCAATACTCTGAAGAGATTGTCTTTAACTTTTCCTCCTTTTTTGTGACCCTGGAAGTCCAAGGTCCAAGACCACCAAAAAAAATGGTGGTGCTGGTGTTGTAGTGCAACATCCTTAGTAAAACAATGGTACTTCGGTAAACACCATTCATTGAATGGTGGTTTTCAAGCCTATAGAGGTGAGTGATGGTGAGTGTGCGTTCACCTGTCATGAGCCGTGTGCACCAACAAACTCATGGACCCCCGAACGTGGCCAGCACATAGGTTGATGCTCAGCCTGGCCCAATCACAAGACGCCGATTTGAATGTGTCTTTGGTGGCTTGGACGCGCCTGGCGCGGTGGGCTGATTGGGCCATGGGCGACATAACACATTTCTTGGCCCCAAGAGGCTTACCCTGCCTTGCTCGTTTGAAACTCCTCGTCTTCTCGCACCTATGGCACCTCAGAGGGTATACCTAGCAAGCTGTATGGATCCTCAGGGAGTCCCAAGACACCATAGGACACCCACAACCCGCGACCCCTCCGCGACGTTGCCGTGAGCAACGTGTGACGGCGCCCGAGCTGTTGGCCAGGGATGGTTAGCCATCCCAATGATGCTCGTCGATGGTCTGGGCATGGGATGTGTGATGTGACAAAAAAGACATAGGCAACTGCAACACACATAGACACGGGGGAACATTTATTCTTTTTTGTATGTGTGTTTCCACATGACAAGACTCCTAACCAACATGTTCAACGCAGCTCCGCCAAACTTCGATCTGTGCACCACTGGGGTGACACGGGTGCGACGCCGCTCTCTCTCTCTCTCTTCTTTTCTTTTGCGGGGGCGACCGCCGTTTTTGGCCACGCACACGGTGAGGAACGAAAGCCGTTCCTTTTGCATTCCGTCACTCCTGGCATTCCGTAAGTCATTTGTTCCGAACGATTCTTCATTAACTCCCAGTTCCTGAAGCATCTCCTGCGGTCACTGCTCTGTATTGACCTGGAAACGGCACCGACCTACGGGGCGACGATGTCTCCTTCCGGCGACGGCCCCAGACGTCAGGTGGGCATCCAAGACCAAAGTGTCTTCTGCACGGTGACCATCGCCAGCGAGGTGTGGTCAGTGTGCTCGTGGTCAGCGGGTTATGTCGGTTTCGGCGAAGGAAAAGGGGGGGGCGTTTTGGGGTGAACATCGCGGGTGAGCCAATGCGGGTGTGGGCTGAAAACGTGCGGTGACGGTGTTTCAGTGAGCTGCCGGAGTGGATGGTGCTTTTGATGTGAGAGATGCTTCACCTGACTTGCAGAAATGGGTGGCAGAAGAGGTACTGTACCCCCTAGACCTGCAGAATCTGAGGAGTGTGGGCAAACGACCTGGCAAAGCATACCAACTGTGCAAAGCTCCGGGAGGTCTGTCGTGTGAGCCTTCTTGAGGTTCTTCTACAGTCATCCACCACCCTCTGAATCTGCATCATCCTCCAGAGTCTTTTCATCCAAACAACTGGGAAGGAGAGGTGCCTGGATCGGTGCTTGGCTCAACAACCAGTTTTTTTTCTTCGTTTTTTTGGGGTTCGAGGGGTTCGGCATGAGGGTTTGGACATGGAAAGAGCCTGGAAGATCTTGGGACTCTTCAGTGCTCTTCAGGGCTCTACCTGCCAGGCTCTTCCCGGCACCTTATGGCTTTACCTCAGCGTCTTGGGTGCGGAGCCGACCGACAGCGACGCTGGGACAAAGGTCTTTCGTCACCCCAAAGGCGAAGCAGGTCCATGTGGTGAGATAGCATTTTGCTTCAAGAACTCTCTCTCTCTCTACATATATATATATATATAAGACTCTACTTAGTACTAGGACCATCTAGGATATCCCCCCAAAAAGAAGACGAAGTTGGAGGAAGAAACATGAAGAAACCAGTTTCTGACTTTCGTGTCCTCAATCTGACCGAGGAGTTGAAGACAGGTCTCGGTGCCCTGGGCCTCTCCAGTTGCACCGACTTGGGAACTCCGATCACGGCCACAGGCGCCGGGTCCGGGAGTGGTCGGATACCGCGGCTTTTGTAGGTTGAAGCACGTTTCAAGGCATAGAAGCAGCATGGTAGAGTGGTTGATTCTCTTGTTATTTATTTACCTTTTTATGGCAAACGTTAGCGTGTTTTTTTCTTTTCACTTCATACCTTCAAAGGCAATCACTTCTACGAGGCTGTAGTGTTCCTACGTCCTCCGTGGAGTGGAGGGGGGGACAGAGTAACAAAGCAATGTTTTTTCCCCTGGAAGCTATAGGGGTTCTTAGTTCTCAATGGATGGGTTCCGGATTGCGGAAATTGGCTGCCGTTGCCGTCTTGTTTCTCAAGCTTGTCTCCCTTCATGATTTCGCTCTTGGCTGCCGCTGCCGGCTTGTCTCCCCAAGCTTGTCTCCCTTCATGATTTTTCGCTTTTGGCTGCCGCTGCCGCCTTGTCTCCCAAGCTTGTCTCCCTTCATGATTTCGCTCTTGGCTGCCGCTGCCGCCTTGTCTCTCAAGCTTGTCTCCCTTCATGATATCGCTCTTGGCTGCCGCTGCCGTCTTGTTTCTCAAGCTTGTCTCCCTTCATAACTTCATATAACTTCGCTCTTGGCTGCCGCTGCCGGCTTGTCTCCCAAGCTTGTCTCCTTTCATGATTTAGCTTTTGGCTGCCGCTGCCGCCGTGTTTCCCAAGCTTGTCTCCCTTCATAACTTCGCTCTTGGCTGCCGCTGCCGGCTTGTCTCCCAAGCTTGTCTCCCTTCATGATTTTTCGCTCTTGGCTGCCGCTGCCGGCTTGTCTCGCAAGCTTGTCTCCCTTCATGATTTCGCTCTTGGCTGCCGCTGCCGCCGTGTTTCCCAAGCTTGTCTCTGTTCCTGATTTCGCTCTTGGCTGCCGCTGCCGCCTTATCATTTTCTTGCCTGCCTTCGACGCGGATGCTGTTATAAGATGATTTAGGTCCGTCTTGTTTACCTTTTCCATCCTTTTCCCGGCTTTGAGGGGGATGTCTCCCAAGCTTGTCTCCCGCTCTTGCCATGGTGTCCAACTTTTCTTGAAGTGCTATCTGGGGTCTATGCCGGTATAATATACGTTTTGACCACACAAACAATTCCCTGACAGACCTTGCCAAGCGAATTTCCGGATGGTTTTTATATGTTTTCACCACACAAATTCTCTGGCAGACATTGCTTGCCAAGCATTTCCTGATAGTGGTAGTTGCTCTCATGCACTATTACCCTTCTTTCGTCCCTTTCGGCTGTGCTTCACTCAAAAGCTCTCTCCAAGCGCTTTCCGCCGCCAGCCTATGCCAGCCTTTCCGCCTTTCGCTTCTTCGGTCGGTCGCTTCAGTCGTGAACTTGGGCCTGGCTGCCTGTGGGCTGACGCTGGGAGAAAGCTACACCTTACAGCTTCTCTTCGAAGGCAATGGCACCAGGCGCACCGTTGGATCGGGCGAGACGGATCGGCGACATCAGACATCAGCCAGGAATTCTGAGTAACCTTAGGTGACGTACATGAGCCTCAGTTTGACGTACGGCGAAGTAGAAAAAGAACGAAGGCTTCAGATGTGTTTCTTTCTTTTGAAGTAAGGAAGTGTAGAGGCTCGGTCAAGGCGCATAGACAGGAGGATCTCCTGAGTTTGACCGGATACTGTAAATTGTAGAATGCGACAAAGAAGGACGTGTCTTGTGAAGGACAAGGTCTTGGATTTTCATAGATTTTCCTTTTGAGTCTGACCCGCCAGGAATTGATTTATAGCTTGATTATCTATGATGGTCCACTAAGGAGTCCACTAGTTCAGGTCCTTTTTGCTCACTGGAAAAGCCGTGTTTCACTGATTCCCTCGAGCGAGCTCTCCTCAAGCTATCCCGCAGGTTGCTCCGCAGCAACTTCACTGTACCTCCAGAGCCAAGCCCCTTGCCCCCTGGGCCATATTGCGACTTGGCTGGCTTGGTGGGCTTGGTTGGTAGGCTGACCTCGGTGGGACAGTCTGCAATCAGTGTGACATGGAAAACAATTGCAAATAAGCTCACATCCGAGGAAAAATGAGATTACTGGCCGAACCCAGATTGTGGGATCCCCCAATTCTTGCTCCGCCTTCGAATGTGATGTGTTAGACACATCTTCGAACATGTGCAGTCCATTTGCGCTTTGCGGCGCAATGGATGGTCAAAAATCAATGGATCCGAAAGCGGATCTAGAACGATCAGAGGGTCTGTTCTCATCCAGGTCTCACCAAAGTGAGGCACAAAGTGAGGCACTCGGACTGGCGCCACCGATCGATTACGACGTGTTGACGAAACGGCAGGTTTCGACATCGATTACGACTACGCTGGCGCGACAGTGTGGCTGGTCATGCAGGTTTTTCATCTTCAAGCCGACGGCGGGGTTTTTGTGCGTTGGAAAAGGGTTGAACAACATCTGATCTGACTTGTCTGCAGAACTCAAAGATGACATACAGTACGCGTGCCGTATGCCATTTGAGCACCCAGATGATGTGTTGCATGTCTTTACGTGTACTGTGTGTCCTTTTTCAAGGTCCGAGGTGATTCGCCTTTCTTGATTGTGAAAGAGAGACATAGAGAAACCCACACGTTGACTCTGCAGGATCTGTGACAATCAACAGGTTTCGGCATTTCTGATTTGTACCTATTTGCAAGAAGCTACTGGTAACAAGGACATCGCTACTACTAGTTCCTGGCCTTAGTACCAGTAACAAGAAGCTACTAGTAGCAGCGCCCACATGCCTGATCGTTTCTTTCGCCATCTTCCGCCCCTTTCACTTTCCGCTTCCGTCAGCTGGAGGACGCGGATCCTTCCTTTTCGCCGTTCCCTTTTTGGAAGTGACAACGCGCCTGAGGCAAAGCAACAGCACAGCTGCGAGCGCCATTGAATGCCAAAGCCTTTGCTTTGTGAGCTGCTTGGATTGTCAGACCCAGCCACAGATTGTCACACTCAGACACCTGCTGCCAAGCCTCTTCGCCCCAACCCATGTGAGACCGTGAGACCTGCTGAGATGTTTGCTGTGACATCTGTGACATCAATTCCAGATTTGCAAAGACAAGTATACCCTGTGAGCTTTCGAGTCCTGTGAATGTTGCAAGGCTTCCAACTCTGAGATGTCTTTTTCCTGCGTGAAAGACGAGATTTCTATTGACCTTTGGTTGCTGGAGTTGGCAATGGGTTCCCTGTTATTTCCTACTTAACCACCTGAAAAAATCCAAGTGATGCTTTTTGAGCTTTGCAAGTTAGCGGCCACAAGTCATGTGCTGAAAAAGCACACCCGCGGTCCTGCTGCCGGAGAGGTTCTTCTTGTCTTCACTTCCGTTTCACCTACACAGCTGATCCCAGTGTTGAGCGATGCGAGCTGTTGTCAACAGGCGGGGCACCCGAAGTGGCATCATTGAAGCACAACCAGCCTGTTCTTTTGGTGGATTTTTCTCAGTCAAACTTGGCACTTGGAGAAATCTTGTTTGTACCAACCAATGCCCACAACAACAAGCCAAGCAGTAGAGCAGATTCTCAACGCCTCATCCACATGGCCTTAAAGCATTGTTTTGGGGGTGGAACCCTTCTTCGGCCCAGAGCTCACCTCTGGTCCCCCACCGCCGCCAGGTCCCTTGAGTGGCTCGGCCTCCCCGAACGTGGGCACCGTGACGGGGCCCAAGAACTGCGAGAGCCGAGTCTCAGCTGCAGCTGGAGGTCCTCGACCCGCGAGGACCGCGGTCTGTTGGATCTCCGGGCGGATCGCGTGGTCCACGAAAGAACTGGGCGGGGGTGTCAAAGAAACAGAAGCGGCGGGGGCGGTGAAAGATGGCCAGGCATCAATCGACCGACCCAAGAGTTCGCTGTCTCCCCGTCCTCGCTTGGGGCTTTCCCCATCGCTGCGCGTTCCAAAGGGCGCTCCAAACCACCGAGATCGCTCGGGGCCGAAGACCGAGGCGATGTGCTGTACTTCCACGGCCGTGGGAATCTCTTCCGAACCGAACCCACGCCCATCGTTCGAGGGACACTCGGCAGAGGCGGATAGCGCTATCCGCACGTGTGGCGGGGTCTTCAGAATTTCGACTGACTTATTCTTCCCTAAGAATCCGAACGGGCTCTCCATGGAAGGGGTCGGACCCGACACCTTCGCAGGGGTGCGGGCCCGAAACCAAGCCCTATTTGTTTGAGGGCCCGGATTCTTAGGGTTATTTGTATCCTTTTTTGGCGAGGTCCCATCGTCAATTGAAGGGCCTTGGTCGGCAGAGCTGTTTCCACGTTCTTGTCCAATCTTCAATATCTCACTTTTCACTTTTATCACCGAGAGTGCTTCAGGTTTGGGTACCCAACACTCCAGGCAACGTAGTGTGGATACAGCTATATAGAGTCAACCTCTCCGACCGCCCGTAGATCGCCCGTTTCCGGCCGGGAACGGCCGGATGTCCTGCCTCTTTTGAGGATCCCTGTGACCATCTTTGTACAGGGCGAGAACTTTGACCCGGACTACGACCGCATCGTGGCAGTGGATGCCACTTACGTGTGTGGGGGTGCATTTCTGCCTGGGGCACCAGGTGCCTATGACGTCAAAGGTCTCAGGCGCGGTGGGGAGAGAAGGACTTGCATTTGAAGGTGATCTGGCTATGGTGACAGATTGGGTTCTTCCAAAGAACAACTAGACTAGACTATATCCATCTATTTTTGAACTTTTTTGAACTATTCTTGCCTTTTGGAGTACTTTTGATCTGAACCTTTACAACATCATGTTAGTTGCGTTGGAACTGATAGCCGGACCCCTTTGCCACCCCGCCGGGCCCCGCCGCACCGCGAGGCCCAACACCTGGCAGCAGTGGCGCGAGCTGCCCTGCAATGACACGGGGTCCGCGCCGGAGTTGATGATCTGTGGTAGCAGTGCCGCCGGGAGGCCCCAGAAGCGAACGTAGAAGTGGCGCGAACGCAGTGGAGAAGCGAACTCTTGGAGCGAAATGGATTGAGGGATTCGACTGTGACTAGTCAACCTTTTTCGAACTTCGATGGTTGGATTGATTCGACACTTGACATGCTTTTTTGTTAACGGAACTGCATTTTGCCAGAGAGATGTCTTGGAGATTTTCCAGAGGGGTGTGTTCTCGTTTTGGGGTGCTTTCCAAGCAAGTTTCCTTTGGCGGATTTCACCAAACCAGGGCCAAACCACCACCACGCCCCGACGGGTTGCTCCGTGGGTCCTTTTTGTGAATTGGTGGATCACAAAGCCCAAGTGGCAAGCCAAGGCAAGTGGTGTTATGTTGACTTGAAGTGGTTTGCATGTCAGCCAAGGAAGATTATTTATCGTTTCCTTTGTTGACAGAAGGAACCACTTTGGGACAGAAAGGTGACCAAGTAGCAACCATGTGAACATCTGCGAAGCATGCTGTCCATGCATGCTGTCCATGTCCCAAGGCAACAAAAAGATGCAAAAGAAACGCACCTGCAAGAAATTGATTGGTCAACAGGCATTGGCACAGTAGACCTGTTCACTTCGGGGTCGGGTGAAGAAGGTGCAGGGCCTCCCGGAGACGCCTGAAGAGATACAACATCGGATTCCTTTGCGGTTCATTTTTGGATTTCCGGAGCCTTCCTCGACCGATCCGACACCTAATTGAATCCGTTTGGTTCCTGAGTTGCCGGTGAGTCGTCAATCTGGTCCATTGCTTGGCTGGAGTTCTCGGCCAAAGTGAGTGGCCTTGGCCGGACTCTTTTGGTTGGGCATGATCTTGTGGGCCGACGTCCATCGCAGTCTGCCCGTGCGGTTTGCGAAGTCGCTCGAGCAGTCCACGAGAGGCTCCGGGTGCCTTTTTTGCACGACGATCCGAGGTGCTTTTTGATACACTGGGGCCAGTGAGGCTTTGCGCACCTTTGGCGGCAGACTGAAGATACGTATCGATCTTTTTCTTCTCGAAGTGAAGGAAAGGAGTGCAAAGAGTTTCAGCCCTTCCCCCGCTTTTTGTTCTTCGTGTCCAGCTGATTTTGACGGCGTTCTTTCGCCGTTCCTGTTTCGCCGTGTGCGACGCGACGGGCGCCGAACCTTTCGCATCATCGCCCAGAGCGGCCCATCCGAACGGGAGCGGCGTCGCAGGCGTGCGATGCCGGTGCCTTGCCGTTCGGCTGTGCCTCCGGAGACGGCAGCTTCTCCGACTTCTCGGTGTCCGTGACCGTGGACGTGTCCCTTGGGGGGCGAGTAACTGCTGTCGTTGCATGCAGATTCTGATGCAGATCCTGGTTTTGGTTATTGTTTGTTCATGTTTTTCTGTCGGCAGAATCAAATAGGATGAGTTTATTTTTTTGGAAGTGGGAAGGATGTTGTGCCCTTTCTTTCAAGGTTGGATGTGACCGGTCCCTTCAACAACAACACCGCAGATTGCCCTGCTGGTCGTGAGTGCACCGTCACAGGCTGGTTCGGGGGTTTTGAGCGACTTTTCCACCGAGACAGTATAAAAAGCCATCGCATCATATCACAGGTCCCGGTACATTGCCCAAGCCAACGCGACTCGGTTGGGAGTCGTGGTGCTTGTTGATGATGAATTTAAAAAGAAAACCTCCGGCCGTACCAGGATGGTTTTACGTCTCCAGGCCTGGAGGGTTTTATTCATCAACAGTCCACGGTTTCTCCACCTCATGGTTTGCATGGTTTCTCCACCTGAGTTAACTCAGTCATCAGTCAAACTCGGTCGCTCGGTCGCCCGGAAATGGCCACTGGAAGGAAGGACGATACCCTTCCTCCAAGAAACATGGAAGTGGATAATGTCCTGCGTTCCTCTACAAATGGGGGGGTTTTCCACTTTCATGATTGTTTCAGGGAGTGTATACACTTGTTTTGGACTGAGAGCTCCGGGATGCTGGCTCTTTGGGGATCAAGGTGCTGGGCGAAGTGTTTCTGTGCGCGCCACGATGGAACTAGATGTGCCGCACTCCGAAGGAAGTCGCATACATTCCGGGCACAAGTCGCGCCTATGAAACTCTGCGAAATGTTTCAGACACATGATGTGATTTCTTGCTTTTTTGTTTAGATTTGGGTCCAGTTCCAAGAAGTCTCAATATTTGTTTCTCCTAGGAACTTGGTGCTAAGGCGAAAGCCCAACCTTGGGAGACGTGCTTCTTTGCGGAGGATTTGCAGCTGGATGAGCGTGCCATCACGGCGCCGAGTGCGAGAGGGGGCGGCGCTTCCGCGAAGTGCGCCGAGTGGCGAACCGCGCTCGAAGAGTTGGAGCTCCTTCGGGTGAAGGACGTCCAACACAGCGCACCAAACCTGGCCATCAGCGCATGTGGAAAGGCTCAGCAGTGGGATTTGGCATTATCAGTCTTTGAAAGTGCCAATACATTCAAGATTGAACCATCGATCATTACCTTGAATGTGGCCATCAGTGCATGTGAGAAGAAGAACCAGTGGCAAGGTGCATGGAATCTTCTCGGTTCTGGCCGTGCAGCAGCATTGGAGGTGTCTGTAGTTACACGCAATGCAATGCTTTCTGCATTTGGCAAAGGAGCACAATGGCAAAGAGCTCTCTTTCTACTTCGAGCAGAAGACATGCCGACACCAGATATTTTGTCCTTTAATGCCGCCATTGCTGCCTGTGAACGGGGCAAGAAGTGGCAGGAAGCGCTTTGCTTGCTACGTGAAGTGGAAGATCTGAGTTGCCCCGATGTGATCACCTACAATTCGGCCATCAGCTCCTTGCGCGAAACCACTGGTCTGTGTCGCGGGCGGAGGACTTCGCTGAACATGTCCAGCACCAACCACCGGTTTTTGGGGGAGGCGTCGGGCCCCAGAGACCAACCACGGGCTGCGAATGTTTGGAGTTGGGGCTCCGAATGTCTGGGTGTGTTCTTCTTTTTGCCTTCTGAAGCATCAATGAAGCACCACTTCAAGGAATCTGATGGATCCGGTGCTTCGGCTTCTGGTTCTCCTTCTGGTTCTCGGAGCGGCTGGCCAGCCTTCCAGTGGGTCCTCCAAACAGTCCGAGTTGAGTTCCAGCAAGCTGGTCCCCGTTGGAGTTCGGGTGAAACAAGGGATGTGTTTTCCAGCTTTGGTTTGTTGGTATTTCTTCGCATCGTGGCATGGCGCGGCATTGCGCTTCGTCTTCCCAACCGATCGATTGGCCTGATGGGTTCAGGGGCCAAGGGTATCAGACAAGATGCTGGGTTCACTGGGTTCACCCTTGTGGAACCCACCAATGAGTCTTGTGGAACTGCTCAGAGAAAGCTCTCAGGTGATGATCCTAAGCCTAATACGTAAAGGTAAACTCCAGATGCAATCAAGATCCTCACTCTTGACATAAAGGGATTCTTTTTCCGGACTTTTCGGACCCTTTTCGGACCCTTCCGACCCACCGGAGCGGCCCCAGCTGAGGTGCTTGTGGCAAAGCCGCGCAATGGCAGCGCGCCTTGGAGATCTTCGCTGCGCTGGGCCGGCGATCCCGCCTACAACCCAGCCTGGTGAGCTACAACGTCGCGATCTCCGCCTGCGAGAAGGGCCACCAATGGCGGAGCTCTCTGAGCTTGGTACATGTTTTCTGAATGTTGGCAGCGAGGGGGGTGGTCCCAGGATCTGGAATACTGAGAGCTGGAAGATTGTAAGGGGTTCTCGTTGGTGGCACTCTTAAAGTCAGAAACGTGCTGTTCTCCCACCAATCCCACCAGTTGCCATGCCACTTGTGTGAACCACATGCACTGAGGCAAGGTGCCCTGCACCTCTTAACGCTTCTCCGCACCATCGCTGAACCAACTGCTCATCGCGTGGTCGCCTGGAGCGCTGCGGCCAGCGCTTGCGCGAATTGCAGCCAGTGGAGATGGGCCTTGGAGGTGCTGGAGGCCGGGTGTCTCGCCGTTGGACACCGAGCGTTCAGTTGGGGGCTTCTAGATCCGGAAACCAACTCCATGCAGCGTTTTTTGTGGCATTTGGTCATGGAAAGGGCACATAAAGCATCCTGGAACCACTCATTTCATCATGTCCCCCACCTGGAACCACTTCAAAAGTCTTCTAAACTCTTTCAAGAACTACTGGACTCACCCACCTCTGCACCAAACTTCCCACCTGGATCCTCATGCAGGAGATCGCCGGTAGTTCCACCAACGAGGTGCCGTTCAACGCCGCGATCCGTGCCTGTGAGCGTGCGAGTCGATGGAAGGAGGCCATGTCCACCTGGTCTGCTTTGGAGGTGCCGTTCCGCGCGGCGCGAGAGCGAGCGCGTGAGTGCTGGCTTTTTTGGCTTTTGCACGTGATGGTGATGGGGGTTGAGGAAGAGAAGGCAGAGCTTCCACCGCGAAGGCGGAGCTTCATATTCTTTTCAGGATGTGGATGTGAGTGTAAAGAGGTGTTGTGAGTGCTCGAAAAGGGAAATCAGGTGGTACAAAACACCGGGTTTGGGAACCTTTCCGGGGGCTTCCAAAGGGGGATTTGAGCGTATAGAAGAGCCACAAAGTTAAGATTTGCTCAACAACTTATATATGTTAAATTTGTCTTAGATCTCCACAAAGGTGCGCGTCAACCGTGCCGTGCAACCGCCAGGTGTACACGCTAGAGCCTTCCGTAACGACTTGCAACACCGTGATCAGTGCGCTGGGAGGCGGAGGCCAATGGCAACGTGCAATGAGGCGAGTGTCGAGCGCACTCGTCGTGCAGTCCAGTGTGAAACGGGAAAACCCACACGGTTGGGCCTCAAGCAAGCGAAACCTGCGTGACTTCCCAAGCTTGTGTGCGGAAGATGTACCAAAGCTTGCGTGAGTTTAACAATGAGCCAGGTGTCATGATTCATTGACCATTAGATTTTCATGATGTTCACATGAGATGCTTAAACCTGTGGGTCTCCTTGAAGCTTTTATGTCAAAATCTGATTTTCTCACTGTTTTTGTTTGTTTACCGAGGTTTCTCTTCGAGCATGCTCACCTGTCAGATCGGATCTCGTTCAACACCGCCATCAGTTCCTGTGAGAAGGTCTCTGAGTGGCAGCAAGCTCTCGGGCTTCTCGATTTGCTGAGTCTCTTCTGCAGTTATTCCATGGACGCCTGAGCTTGAAATTTTCATGCCACGCCCACCAAGCTGTTGAGACTTATACCGTGCCAAGTTATTCTGATTGAGTCTCACCAGTGAAGTAATACCATGCCAAGCTGCTGAGATTGAGCCCGTTCTTTGGCCGAAGCATGACATGCCGCGCTCCTTTTTTTAGACGTCAAGTTGGTCATCTCGACAGCGCCTTTTTCAGGGGCCTTGTGTTGCAAAGTCCCTCTGGCTGCTTATTTGGACGATCGTATCTGTCACGTCATAGTCGTAGTCTTTCTGAAGCCGAAACGGATGAATCCTGAACGGGGTGCCTATTTTCACCTCCCACCAGGCCCAAGATATCTTCACTGGCACAAATGTCGAAGGTAGGCTAGTTACTAGCTTCAACATTATTCTTTGTCCACTATCTCTTGCTGCCAAACTGCGAGGTGGCTCTGACTTACCCAAATCAGCGTGGACATGACAATTTGACCGCTCGTCTGACTCAGGAGTTCCACGTGCGGAACCGACATCCTCAGCTACAATGCATCCATCAGTGCCTGTGAAAAAGCTGGAGAGTGGCAGCGGGCGCTGATGCTCTTCTGGAAGGCCTTCAAAATGGCCGGGAGAATGGTTGGCCGGCGTTGCTGTCCGCTGGTGGGAAGGCCTCATTTGGTTTACCGGATTGCTGGATAGTTACTAGTACTGGTTTGTGCTAGGACTTGTGTCTAGAGGTCTGTCTGATTTGAAAGACAAGGAAGTGATTCAGGACCTCCCCTCTTTGTGTGGACATGCTGTTCCTTTGCACCCAAATGAACAAATCCAATTTCACCCACACATCAGTGGAGGTCACCACAAGCGTTGGTCTCCAGCCGAGCATCATCACCTTCAACGCCACCATCAGTGCGTGTGGGAAGGGCCGACAGTGGCAACAGGCCGTTGGGAGAAGTCAACAGGGTAGGGGAGTTTTTGTAGGAGTGGCACAGGGTGATAAAACCCCATTATGGGAGATGCACATGCCATTTCTCTGGCTTGCCAGTCAACATAAACTCAACTGGCGACTGGCACAGGCGCTGTTCCTTTTCAAGAGGCTCTTCCAGTGGCAACTGACACCCACCAGCGTGACCTATGCTGCGACCGCGAGCGCCTTTGAACAAGTTGGAGAGTGGGAGAGGGCCATCCTGCTCTTGGAGCATTGTCACTGTCAGTCCATGCCAGCGAATCTCTTGGTCTACAATGCGTGCATCAGTGCTTGTGAGAAAGGCGGAGGGTATGGTTGGTATGGTGGTCGGTATGGTGGTCGGCACGGGAGGAGGGGCCAAACAGAATGATGGCAGATCTAGTGATGGCAGGGATCTATCTTTTGGTTCAAGGACTACTGACCACGTTCTAACCACTGACGTGGCCCAATGGGCATGAATGCTACGAATCCGCTGTGGAGAGTTCTCCAACGTACCCACGACTCCTCCATTCGGGTCGAAGTCGCACAAAAAACACCGCATGGTGCTGTTTTCATTGCACTTCCTTTGACCACTTCCACGACACCTACATTTTGCCAGTCAACAAATTCTGCAGGTGGACAATGGCGACAGGCCTGCTGGTTGTTCCACCTTCCAGCTGTGTGTCGTTTGGAGCGTTCAGTGGTGACGCTGAATGCTGCGTTGAGTGCCTGCGAAAAGGGCAACCAGTGGCAGATGGCTACTGTGCTCCTGCATAGAGGCAGCACAAGCCTCTCGTTGGATTCTGGGACAGCAAAAGGTTGCGAGCTTGCGGAAAGCCGCCCACAATTTCTGTGAAGAGCTGTTCTTCTCCTTGCATAGCTTTTGTGCCGTAAGCTGACACCCTTGCCCGTGGACAGCCACTCCATTTTTCTTCAAACTTTTGCTTGCAAACATTTCGGACCACGTGTGTTGCTCTCGAGCTCGCACTCCACCGCCACAAATAAGACCACCTACTGTACCATTATCCTTTACACTTTCACCCAACAAAAAGGTGCCACGTTCACCTTCTTTCGCCGCTCGCTGAGGACGCCTTTTCCTGCAGCGCCTTCGTCTCCGCCTGTGAGAAGGCCGCCCAGTGGCGCCGCGCCCTCCGAGCCCTCGGCGGTCACGGCCGACCGGTGCCCGCCAGCCGCGTGGCGCTGAATGGGGCAATCTCCGCCTGTGAGAAGGCCGCGCGCTGGGAATGGGCCTTGAGCCACTTGGAACGAAGGGACCGAAAGCCACGCTGGACTCTTCAGTCGTTTTAGGTTGTGGATTTTGGTTCATGAAGCGTTTCTCACAGTCGTGTCTCAGACTTCTCTACACGTTTGTCATGCAGCAATGGCATGGTAGCCGACCTTTTTGTTGTTGGTCTGTTTATCTGGTAAATCCTTGAAGGTATGAAACAAATGAAACAATCCTCTGACTCTTTGTATACACATGACTCCAGAGCTGAGGCCTTTTTCAAGAGATGCAGGACCTAAAGCTGACACCCACGAGCATCACGTACCACGCCGTGCTGCGTGCTTGCCTGCGGGCCGCGCAGTGGCAGCGGGCGGTGCTGCTCCATGCAGATGCCCGGGAACGGAGGCGGAGGAAGAAGAGAAAGAAAAAGACAATGGTTTATGGTTAAAAGCAAACAGACAAGGGAAATCAAACGAACATTTATGTTTGGTTCTGCTGGTTTGTTTACAGCGATGCCAACTGTTAAGCGTACACCGAGTGAACTCGGCTGTCTGGACCGTAGAGCCCCGGATCTCGCGGCGTTCGCCTTTTGGATCCTCCGAACGGTTTTGGAGCGACCGGTTCGGTCGAAGAGGCTGGCAAAAGTAAAAGCTCTTGGTGGTAGCATTTGTTATCTGAGCCGGAGTAAAAGGATCCCTTTGTTCCCCTCCAAGTGCACAGTTCAGAGGAGAGTTGGCTCACATTCGTTTCGACTTCCTTGAAACGCCTGTGCGTCTCCCTGCGCACAACACCTGGACCGCAGTGTGCACAGGTGGAGGGCGGATGCCGCGATGTGTGATGCGGCCGTGAACGCGTGTGAATCGGGGTTGGCCGCTCGGCAGGCCCAAGGCCTTCTGGGTCGGTTTGATATGCCTGGACTGGTGAAACTCATGCGAAGGCAGCAAGAAAAGAAGAGTCAGGAACGGTTTGCATGACTGGACAGTGCCTGAGTGACCAATCGCATTGATGGGTTTTTTCTTGGACATTTTGAGTGAAATGCTGGAAATTCCACAGACCTTTCAAACAGTTCGAAGAAACCATCACCACACTCTGAAAGACTTCAACCTTTCTGTCAATTTGTGGTTTGCTTGGCTATCCTTTAGTGTGTGAGACCTCCAAGTTGCCCAGATGCGTTTTCAGGCTTTCCCAGTCCCAGTCAGTGGTTGGTCAGGTTTTCCGTGTCAGACCGTGTCAGATCACACGAGTCACACACCTCGGACCCACACCGGACGGGATGGTCCATGGGAGGCTTGCAGGGCTACAAGATGAGCGCGGGTGACAAGCTGATGTTGCGAGACAACTGCAGCGAGGCGGACCGTCGCGAGCGACGCGACGTCGCCGTCGCTTGACTCGCTCCGCCGTCGACGAGGCCGCGTGGGTGGGCTTTGAAAGAGGAAAGAGAAAGCCGGAAGTCTTTGAAGTAGGGCGGCTGGAGGGTGGCTGGGTCCTTCAAAAAAACTGGCCCTCCATGTAAAAAGTCTGAGGCAGGTTTAACCTGGCCATTTTTTCACCTCATTGAGTCGTGTTTTGCTATGACTCTACGACTCTAGTGACACTGTCATGGTCCGACCATGTGACACCTCACCAGACAGTAGCCCACTCTGAGGCAGGTTTGGTACTATAGTAGGTGCCTGAGTGGCAAACCTTCCGACCCTCTCGTCGCAGGGCCTCGCGGGTCGGACGTCTCTTAGGCTCCCAGCGTGGCCTACACCGGGGCCTCGCGACCAAGTCCAGACCCTGCTCAGGGGCAAGGAGCCACCTACCTCTTTGAGACTTGGGTGGAAAAAGGAAGGGGACCTGCCCATCCTGCAGGCATTGAGACTAGTCGGGAGGAGACAGGTACGACTTGGGAGACTTGGGGAGGTTTTTGTACGGTGTTGGGTCGTCAGGGGCTGAAGAGAGAAGAGAGGCACTTAACTTGATGGGGACCCACCCACGATTCTGGAACCGAAGTGGGGGAATTCCCCGGATTTCGCTTCTACCGCGCCGATTTATGATTTCTTCATGCTGCACTGGGCGGGCATTTGTGAGGAAGTTCGTCAATTCCGAAGCCTCCCCCTCCACTACTCAAGATTTAGGCCTCCTTGATACCTCTCCTTTCCTCCAAAGCCTCCTCGTTACATTTTCCATGCACTTCAGTGCCAGTGCCACTGGCCTCTCCCGTGGAATGAGGAAGAGCTGAACACAGCTTCGTGCCAGCCCAACCACACCCAGGAGTGCCTGCGATATGTTGCGAGACGAAGTGTAGATGGTGCGCTGGATTTCTCCTTTGAGCAATCGAGTTCCAGCTCGTCTTAAGTTTTTGAATCATCCCCCTCCACTGAAACTAGGCATTTCTGTTGAGTCTACCGCCCCTGAAACCGAAAGCGGTGAGGCTGCTTACTCCAGCCAGCACATCCTCGAAGGTCAAAAGACAAGTCACGCGGGAAAGGTGTCTTTGGTGTAAAAAGATTCTCCTCTGACGAGGCATGCCATCATTGAAAGGTCAATGCTCGATTCCTTGTTCATGTGAGGGATTCAAGGTTTCTCTTCCAAGGACCAAACAACATGGCAGCACAGATTGAAATTCTGCCATTCTGAGAATCCCACACCAAACCGTGGGCCGCACTTACTATCAAAACCGGCATCCTTTCGAAGGACAACAGCCAATTTGACCAGTCCTCAGATAGTAGTAGGGTACTTATGGAAAATTCTGATGCCATCCAAGCACCGTGTGCATGTCTGTGACAGTCGGACAGAGTGAACCACTCGACACCCAGGGCCCCTGCATGGTGGCCCGGCTTTGCTACTGCGCGGCGGCGCCGGGTTCCACCCACAACTGCCTTGTGGAGACCGACTTTCAGACCGACGCGGGTGAGGCTGGGAGGACAGGAGGACCGGGACGGACTCTGGGAGACGAGGGTTGAGCTGAAAGGTTTGGGTTTGAGTGCGATTGAGTGCGACATGGGGTCAAACTTCTTAGACAGAGCTCAAGAGCATTTCAGTTCTGCATGAACGCAAACCACCATGTGGGACCTACTAGAATAAGATACGGATCGGTTTTTGTTGAAGAGTTGGATCATTTTCAACCATGTCCAACCCCTGAGCTTTCGCCATGTCACGAAAGCTAGCACCAGCTAGCTGGAGTTGTTCTTGCTTCAGCAAGTGAGGGGCTGGAATCCTCAAGAGTGCCGCATGGCGTGAACACTTCATATGTAGGTGGCCCACTGGGACATCGAGATGGGCCCGCTTCACCCCCTCCTAGATAGTATAGCTTTCGTCACCAACCCTCGGCCTCAAGTTGACTTACTGTAGCCCAAAGAATCATTTTAACAATGAAGGTTCCCAGACGAGTACTTGAAATTTATCTACCCCCTCCGGGGTTTTCTTATTGCTCTCCCTTCCTTCCGGCCCCTACTGTCTCGTGCGCGCACCGCCGCGCACCAGCTTGTTGAGGTGCGGTTCTTTGGAGCTCCGGGGATTGTGGAGGGCCTGGTGCTGCTGCAAGAAGACTTTGAGAGCTTCACCTTGAGGTGAGACGACTGGTCCCGGCGCTTGCGCGCCGTCTGACGTCGTCCCTTGTTTTAGGGTTTCGGGGGGACGACGGAAATTTCGGGAGGACATGGAGTCGTCTGGTTGGTTGGTTGTGAGTCCATAGAAGAGCTACTTGAGGCTGGACATGCCGTTTTGACAGTGCAACACCTATCCAAACATATCCAAACCTCAGTTGGATGCGACTACTTACAACGGTTCCAACAAGATCAGGAACTCCGTGAAGAATCTCAACGGGGCCGCCTTGCGCACCGCAGGTGGAACTATCCTGATGATGATGGTGGTGGAGTGGCGTCTTGGGTTCAAAAGTAGCGTCGGTCTTCAGCTTTCGAACCCAAAGGATCGTGATTTTTTCAGGGATGATGAGTCTCCCACGGCCTTGGGCGGCTCAAGGTTTGATTGGGGGGCTTCGGACGGGATGAACGTCCGTTGGGCCCCTTTCAGCTTTGACTCGTTGAGGAATTGTATGAATTTGTCAAGCACCTGCAGGTGCACTGCATGCATGTTGACAACACTTTTGTGACAGCAGTTCTGATGTAAGAGAATTCGTCCCCCTTGCCAGGTGACGGAATACCACCTCTTTTTCCGCACATGTCCCGGAGGAAACTACACGGATGGAGCCACTTGGCTGAATGCCACAAACTTCAAACCACTGTTTTTGACGTAGACATGCCATGAATCAATTGCCTACAGTGGTTTTGTCCACCTGAACCAGTTGTCTTTGGACTTACTACAGGAGCCTTTTCAAACGGTTTGGCTGCTTTCTGGAGTCACATAATTTTTTGCTTCAACACTTGAGCCCTCAATGAAGCGCTTGGGAAGTCTAAGAGCACTGCAAGATGTTGCCAGCAACGCGAGTCACTTTCTTCAGCTGGGGCGCTTCTTGGCTCCTTTGGCGCGCTTCTTGGCTCTAAGGTCGAGAGTGAGTATTTCATTCCAGTGGAGCCAGGCGCTTCTGCCAACCACCAGTGGAGAAAGGATGCTCCCATCATCTCAATCGACTTGCACATTGATCTAAAATGATCTGAACATTTTGTTGATATATATTATAAATAACCATATGTTTTTCATTGTTGTTCTGCATCTCGCTGCAGCTTTCTCAGCAGACTGCCCCAGACTGACCCACTCCTCTCGCTCCCGGTGAGGCGAAAACCGCTGGGGCGTCGCGCTCAATGCCACCTACCACTTTCGAGAGCCTTTGGTGCAAGCCGTTCCGACACCCATCGAAGCGGCTGGGAGCCTCAGTGATCATGATGGGCATGAAGAAGAGGGAGGAGCTAGAAGAAGACTCTTTATGAAGGGGGGTGTTCGACTTGAAGATCTTCACTTTTTGTGTCTTCCTCCTTCATGTCCACCAAACGGGTCATGGCAGAGCTCATGGCTACTACGCGGGTCAGCAGCTGCCAAGGCCACGCGCTACTGCATGGTGGTCTTGGCCACGAATGCCGCGGCCACCGGTCGGAGAGACATCGCTCAGGAGCAACTTGAGCTGAAGCAAAAAGGGTCCAGCCTGGTTTGCAGACCTTGAGCAGTTTGTCCAACTCTGAGCTGTTTGTCCAGCCTGGTTCGTCATTTCAGAGTTTCAGAGTTCATCGGAATCGTACGTGTACCGAAGCATACTGCATGCGTCCGCATGCCAATCATATCTTGACATGATTCTCAGACATGGAAAATGGGAGCTGACAGACACACAACAGTTGGATAGCTTCAGCCATCGCGGAAGGCGAGCTTACTCTTTTGGGGAGCAGACCTTTTCGTGCCGGCGGCACAACTGTTTGGGGAGCCGCTCCGCACCGCTCACCAATCGCCGTGGGGCATCGCGGGCTGCGCAGCAACCGGAAACGAATCATAAGAAGATTGGCCGACTTAAGCAAGAGAAGCGGGCCAATCATCATAGATATATTGGTGATAAAACAGGCTGGAGAAGCATTTTATTATAAGTAAATATGGGCTATAGGCTCATTTCTTGTTGAACAAATCATAGAAATATTGCCTGTTTATCACATTGATTCACCGGAATCGGTGCATGGCTTCGGTTTGTCATATTCACGTCTCATGGTGTCCGGTGGATTTTTAACGGTTCCAGCCTCTTAAGGTGCCACTAAGAGGTGTGACAAATCCAGGAACCTGTGTGAAGCGTGTGACTGTTCTACTGCTTTACCAGTCTCTGTTTGATGATCCCCGCCCTCGAAATTCTCCTCGTCTGCGGTCGTTGATCTGCTGAGACGACCGCTGCTCTGTCGGGTCTCTGCGCCGCGGTCGATGTTTGGGCCGAATCCTTCGCGCACGAATCGAGGTTTGTTTGGGTCACGGACGTCTTCCCACCGAAGGACAGGCCGCACGTGGTTTCTTTTTTGTTAAGTGATTAGACACGCCATCAGCGGCGCTGTTGAACATGCTCAACGCATGTTCAACAACGCATGCGTTCAGTCTGACGTCGTTCAGTCTGACCATGCTGTCAGGACTTGTCATATCCCAACGCCTCGCTGTATGTGGTGAAGGAGAGAGTGGGATCATCCAACCACTTTCAGAACACTTGATCACACTTTGGAGGCTAATTAACCGATTAACCTGCTGGAGGTGCAGCAGTGGAGGTGCGGTCTCCTGCAGGCGATCAAGTTGTTGTTGGTGGCGTTTTTTTGGTATCACGATCACACTTTGGTTGGTTGCTGTAGGTTGACAAGTGATTCCTTTTTTTGGAGGTGCCCGTGCAGAACAGCTAGGCCATCTTGGCCCGAAGCATGTTTTGTTTTGAAGCTGAATTAAGAACGGCCCTACTTGAGATGTCTGAAAGTCTGCATGTTGCACATGCCAAAGCTTGGTTTTACCATGGAAATCCCACGTCCTTTGATTGCGGCGTCTTCACCCTGCAGCACCACTTACCGGCACTTCAGCTGTCTGCCGGTTGATCGCCCCCAGGATGTACCAATGGCACCGATGATCCCCGTGGTTACCACGCGAGACTGCCGGAGCCTACCTTCCGTGGCGAGACGAAGCGGTCACGGTCGTCGTTTTGTTTTTGTGAATTTTTTATTGGCTCGACGACGCCGAAAACGGTGGGGTGACACTGCGGGGGAGGGAGGGAGGAGTGAGCCGAACAATTTTGGGGGTGAGAGTTTACCAGCAGCAGCTGGTGAGGCAGCCGTCGATGTGGTCTCGACGTGGTGTTTTTCTTCTCTTTTTTTTTAAAGAGAGGGAGGAGGAGCTCCTCGGAGCTCGGCGCTCGCTCCGACCCGCTGAGGTGGCCAACACCGTACCGCAACTCGTGGCACGGGATTGCTCCTTGGCGGTCGGGAGACGCACCGGGTCGCGCGGCGGTCTTTTGCGGAGTCCCAGTCGGAATTCCGACGACGTTTGAAACGGTCGTCGACTGGGTGAGTCCGATTTCAGGAATCCCTTTAGAGCTTGAACACGCCCCGCAAAACGGAGCACCGGATCGATTCGGTAGGGGTGAAATGATGTGGAACGGGATCAGCAACCAAGGGCTGGGCTCGCCGGACTGTTTAGATTTTTACTCAAACATGGTTTCGCAAGGACTCGGCAAGTCATTATACATAATACGCAGGCACATTGTCTGACTCTCCTCCACACCAACACCATCGTCTCCAGACCTTTTCGTCTCTAAGGTGCAGTCCAGAACTATGACATCCAGCCAGATCTTCCGAAGCTGAGCCAAAGTCTTGCCTGGAAGGAAAGGCTGTGTGGGTCCTATGGTTCTCTTCTCTGACAGGAAAACACACTTCCCACTTCCCATGTGGGCAAGTGAAGAAGAGGCATGGTTTTCCAAAAGATGATACTGTACTCTCTCTCTCTCTCTGCCCCTCTCTGCAACAATTATGGAAATGGAGTTCACCCTCTCTTGGTAGAGGAACATCGTCTTCCTTTCTCAGCCATGCCATCCACGTAACCATGATTGTTTCAGGGGGTGTAATATCGCATTTGGAGCTGCTTGGCCAGCTGGTCACGTGGTCGTGCCGGGAGATGCGTCAAGCATTTCACCTCTGACAGTTACGAATGCCCCCAACTATCCCTATCAACCATGACCTCAGCTCTAGAAACCAACAAAATAGAACTGAGGTCCTATCTTATTTTTCCATGCTAATGTATTCAAAGCGTGCGCTTGCTTGCAACACTCTAATTTCCTCAAGAAAAAAGTCTTGAAGTGAATGCACCAAGCCTCTGATTTTGTGGGGTTATGTATAACATTTGTATGAGTTCCTTCGTCATGGAACAACCCATACGTCAGTTGGTCAGTGCGTCCTTCTTGCCAATTTGCTGTGCCGTTGACCTTCTTGCACCAGACGATGTGGACACAATAAAACACCATGTGAGCATGAAAAGGAGCTGTCTTACTCTTGACATAAACGGATTAGAACACACACACATATACAGTACATGAGATGTATACATACAGTATATTAAATATATAGTAATTAATGTATTATATGAACACATATATAAATATATACATAGTATTATATCATGTAATATGATATAACATAATATATAACATTTTCCTCTATATACACAACTATATAACTCTCTATGGTTCATTGCACACACACACACCGCTGGCTTCAAGTCTCACTCCCGTGTCCCACTCCCAAGGGCGGGTCTGACCTTGGACCCCATCTCCGGGGTGATCAGTGGGACAGCGACGGAGCTGCAAGCGCGGCCGGAGATCTACTTGGTGACCGCGACCAACGAAGGTGAGATGGTGAGTTGGGTTGTAGCCAGGGGAGGGGTTCCGTTCCAGTGCTAGGAAGGGTCAGATGCAAGGTAAAGCCTCCAAGGGCTTCTTTTTTTGACTGGTGCAGCTTCGATGATGTTGGCCTACATAAAACTCCAAGCAATTCTTTCCCAGTTGTAGCCCCCAGAAGCTGGTTTTCTGGGCCTTTGTCCCAGGAGGCAAGACAAGCGCTTACATCACTCTAGCTGTGATTGGCCAGATCAGGCGCTTTGGCTGAGAAGCATTGGTGACGCCTTAGTATGTGTTGCCTCACCTCCCACAACCTACTCTCATGACTCTCCTCAAAGGGTCTATTGCAAAACGCACACACACACACACATGCCCCCCCGCTGAACTGTACAAATGTTTAAATGGTTTAAACAGGAGTTGACACACTTCGATAGAGAGTTCATCCGAGTGATAATCCGGAACATAAGTTCTAGTGGTCTTCAGTACTGCAGAACGGAATGGTGAAGGGTCGGCTCACTTGTAGGTGTTTTAACAAAGCTGCAAAACTGCAAAGACTCAGCACGACTGCTCGTGAAAACGGTGGAAAGGTTTAGGGGGAAGAAACCTGAACCGCCATGGAAACAAAACACAGCAGCAGGGTGGACCAGTGGAGTCAGTGTGTTGTGGAGCAGGTACAGGAAGGTGATCAGCCTTCCCTTCCCACCCATGACCGTAGCCTCGTTGCACACGGTGGGTCATGGATGCCCCTTCTTGGATAACATCGGGCAGCGAGTGGGACCCTTTGGTACAGGGTGGGACACACACACACACAAAATGCCGCATTGCGGCGCGCGCTTGCAGAGGACTTTTCCGCTCTCAAGAACCATCGGCAGGCAGCTGCCAGGTGCCCCTTGGCCAGGTAGAGGTCGATGAGGTGGTGGACCGCTGTGGTTGCTGCGGACGGAGGGTAGTTGTATTTGTGAACTGTGTGGATTCTGGATGCTAGGCCGGAAATAGAGTCACAAACGCTGGCTTCCGGCTGAAGTCGCATCACGGATCTTCCATGGCTGGGAAGGTTGGATGTAGGTGACGGTGCGGGAGGTTAGGTCGATGTTGCGGTAGCCGTCAACGGGTTCTAACTCCACTGGATCCCCAAAGAAATCAGGGTGGATGAGGGTTTGGATGGCTGGGTGTTGTAGAAAATGTTCAGCGTGGGTGGTGAAACGGTTGTCCACGTACCGGTAGTAGTTGAAATGGAGGTGAGTATGGTTGAGGAGGTTGTTGTGTAGTTGGTGCCAAGCGTGCTCAATAAGTGTAATGGCAACGTTGCAAAGGTCCGGTGACAGTTGGGATCCAATCACAGCTCCACGGATCTGTTTGTAGGTGTGGTTGCAGGCCCAGAAATGCAGGTGTCCAGAGCAAAGGACACGATGGTTGTGATGTCGGTCACGTGTAGGGTGCGTTGAATGGGGTGCTGACGGTGATGCCGTCCGATGTGAGAGTGGTGAAAGGATTGCCTGTGGCTGTGAAGTCCAGAGTGAGGGTTTCGGTTGGATGTTGCTGTTGCCAGTGACAAGGCCGTCGTTTGTTGCGTAAACTGGTGGTCGTTGCGGGCAGGCGGCTGCCCTGGGCGGGTCTTCTTGAGCGGGGGAATGTGGGTGTAGATAATGCAGGGGTCTTCGCTACTTGAGGATGGTGGTGGTCGCTGTCGTCGTTGGCTGCTACGACGGTATGGGTTCCAATTGGTGGAGTTTTGGGCTGTAAGTGGGATGTGGTGGAGCGGCAATAGGGAGTGCTGGTGGTGCTGCAGTGCTGGAGTGGGTTGGGCAGTGGATGGTGAAGTTTGGAGGTGCCTTGGGGTGTGGAGGCAGGTATGGATCGGAGGAAATGGGTGGTGGTGTTCGATCAGGCGTGATTGTCCTGCTGTTGTCTGGTGATTCATCGGCCATGATGGAAAAATCAAAAGGCAGGTAAACTAAGTCGGACGTTGAAATTGAAAAGGCAAACAAGCGGCTGGGTGATGTCTGGTGGGAGGTTGGCAATGTATTGATGGAGGTGGCGCCAAAGTTGTGGTATGGAGAGTTGGCCTGGATGTTGGGGGTAGAGGTGTTGAAGCGTGGTGTCAAGAGCTCGACTGGTAATAACTCGGAAAAGATTGCCTGCAAAGGAGTGGTAGCAGGATATGATGGCGCGTCCCTTGCGCCACTGTTTCTTCTCTTGCCCAGTAGTAAAGGTAGTGACAGTACTAGCAGTAGTGATCCCAGTGGTGGTAGTAGTGGTAGTAGTAGTAGTAGCAGCAGCAGTAGCAGCAGCAGTAGTAGTGGCAGAAACATGTGCAAACAAGCAATAACGCCCAAAATAGCGCTTTCCCATAGGTGGGTACGGGGGGATTGCTTTGCCCAGAGCAGTAGTAGTTCTAGTGGTGTTGGTGGTGGTAGTAGAAGTCGTAGTAGTAGTAGTAGTAGTAGTAGTAGTAGTAGTAGAAGTAGTAGTAGTAGTAGCAGCAGCAGCAGCAGCAGCAGCAGGAGCAGGAGCAGGAGCAGTAGCAGTAGCAGTAGTAGTAGTCGTCGTCGTCGTCGTCGTAGTGGTAGTGGTAGTGGTAGTAATAACAGGGTGCAAAAGCAATATACCCAAAATAGCGCTTTCTCATGGAAGGTGGGCAAACAAGCAATACCCGAAACAGCGCTTTCTCATGGAAGGTGGGTACAGGGGGGTTGCTTTGCGCAGTAGTAACATTAGTGGTAGTAATACTACTAGCAGTAGTATTTCTAGTGGTAGTGGTAGTCGTAGTCGTAGTAGTAGTAGTCGTCGTCGTCGTAGTAGTAGTAGTGGTAATAGTAGTAGTAGTAGTAGAAGAAGAAGAAGTAGCAGAGTAGTAGTCGTCGTCGTCGTCGTCGTCGCCGCCGCCGCCGCCGCCGCCGTCGTCGTTCTAGTGGTGGTAATAGTATAGCAGGAGTAGTGGCAGTCGTAGTAGGTAGTACGTGTTTGTGATAGGATATGTAGTTAGTAGGTAGTAGTAGGGTTATAGCAAGGATTACGGATTAAAACGGGTTGCGCGCAATTCGCGGTTTGGACGGGTTACGAATTGTTTTCAGGCCCTTTGGGCTTACGAACAGCTCAGTTTACGCAAGAAAGACACTTGCTTTGATGGCAGAACAAGTTTTCGGAAACGCATCCCAAAACAGAACACATATATCAGGACGAAAGTCGGATATGTCACAGCTCATGTCACTTCACGAGGAGCTCAGATTTCGTTATACGCGTCGTTTGCAGTTTTCGTGGCAGGCGCAGCACTCTGTGACCCTCGATGTGCAGATTTCGTGGCAGGTGCAGCGCTTTGTGAACCTCGCACACTCACTCACCCTCACTCACACTCATTCTCATCCACACTCACTCCCACTCACACTCACTCCCACTCTCACTCTCACTCTCACACTCACTCACTCTCCCGCACTCACTCTCACTCTCACCCACACTCACTCACCCGCCTTCAGTCTCACTCATACTCACGCTCACTCTCACTCTCACTCACACTCACTCTCACCCACACTCACTCTCACTCACACTTGCACTCACTCACACTCACTCTCACTCTCACTCGCGCGCACTCTCACTCTCACCCACCCACCCGCACTCACTCTCACTCTCACCCACACTCACTCACCCACCTTCAGTCTCACTCATACTCACACTCACTCTCACTCACTCACACCCACCTTCACTTCATCACCGCCATCACCTCTCTGGACCCCAATGCGTAGATCTCTAGACTTTCTGCTCACAGACCTCACACACACAGTTTGGGGTCACTCGCCGGTATAATTCAAAGAACGCAGCTTTGTCGTGAGCGAAGCTGGGACCTATTGGATTGGAAACTGGGCGCAACAGGAAACACCCCCAACTTTCACCAAGCAGCTCACGGCTTCTACTGTCATCATTCTTGATTCACGGCTAGTCGTATGACGCTTGTCGAAAGACCCACCCAGGGTTTATCGCATAAAACTATCTGCAGGCGTTACCTGCTCAAAGTTCAATTTCAATCATGAAGTGGGCAATGGGCGTTTCGCTGGTGCTGATGGGCCTTGCCATCGGCGCGGCCGGGATGCACTTCATCAGAGCATCCGAGCTGAAGACGACGCGCGGACATCTTCTGGAAGGCTGAATCTAAAGTACACCAAAACCAGCATGCGTTCAAAGTGTGGCTGGAGACAAAGAAAGCCATAAGAAGCGTCCCTCCACAACGATAACCTTGTTGTTCATGTCCTCTTCAGTAGCTTGCAGATTGTTTTCACCCATTGATTTTCATTACCATAGTTGCCCATACCCCTATTCGTAGGTCCGACTCCGGATCTGCGCGTAGTTCGGGATCGCTGCCTTGCCCTTTTTTGGTACAGAGCACCTGCAGGTCGCGTCTTCTTCGTCGCCGGAATGACGATGAACGTGTTGCTTGGCCCGGCATTTGACGCTGCTGGCTATGCATTGCGCCTTTGCGCCAGCTGCTGTAATAGCCCCCTTTACGAGGGCCGTACGCGTGGCTCGGCGTATAGTGCGGCTGGTGCTGCTGCATGTACTGCTGCCAGTAATATTGGTTCTACTGGTGTTCCATGATGCGAGATCTGAGCAACTGACAAATGGGGAGCGTTGAAAATCGAGCAAGTCACGGCTATGAGAAAGATCGTAAACTTCTGAAACACGCCAGCGTCGATTGTGAGAAAGGTGAAAAATGTGAGAGAAGTGACGAGTAGTAGACTGATAGACTGGAAAAGCTGTGTTAGAAAGTGACCGAAACCGGAAACATTCAGAAATGCAATCAAAGTGGAAGTATGTTTGGAAAAAGCTGTAAAACGGATAGAACGAAGTCAAGCGCGCAACACTCTTTTCTTCACGGATGCAACACGCAAACGTTCCGAATGTAAAGTGCCAGTCTTTAGGTTCCGAATTCCTATTTTGCCTCTCGAAGCCCCGGACGGCTTGGAAAATGCCAAGTGAAGCGCTCGGACTTCTGGATCTTGGATCGAAAGCGAAATTGAAGTAATCTCACGTTGACAAAGACATTCGACTGAAAGATACATCAAAAACATGTTCTTGCCCGAGAATCTCACCATTTTGAGGCAAAGTCCCTGGCGTTTTGACTTTTGTGGACCTTAATGTCGACTCTTGATTTATAAACTCCCCCCTCAACAACCAAGGCCTCCAAAATAATGTATAAGAAAATTAATCAATTGGTAATTAAATAAGGAACCCTTAGCTAGCTACCTCTGGAGCTACTCGGGCAA